GAAGTTTGATACCAGCCTGGCCAACATGGCGAAACCCCATCTCTACAAAAAAATACAAAAATTAGCCAGGTGTCGTGATGTGCGCCCACAGTCCTAGCTATTCGGGAGGCTGAGGTGGGAGGATCACTTAAGCCCGGGAGGGAGGCAGAGGTTGCAGTGAGCCAAGATCTCACCACTGCACTCCAGCCTAGGTGACAGAGCGAGACCTGTCTGCAAATAAATAAATGAAAACCCACTGGAGAGCAAGGCCATCCATCTGTGTGAGGAAAGGGCAGCCTGGCTCCTCTTGCGTGAAGGATGAGCTGGGTCATGTCAAGGGCAAATCTGGTGGGAGCTTCCCTGAGGGTCTACACAAACCCCTCATGAGTTGAGTAGGTGAGAACTGAGTTGAGTCCTAGAGGGTACATGACCCACCACCAACCTGGGATCTGTCAGGCTGAGGCGTGGGTCACATCGTGCACCGTCAGCAGGAGTGAGGTCAGCTCTGTGTGTCCTCCCTCCAGGAGCAGCCCAGCCCTCCACAGGCTCTCAGGCATGGACGGAGCAGCACAGCTACTAAAGGGAAATGAGTATGCTCCTGGGTCCCTGGCAGGCCACGCAGGGAGAACAGGATCTCGGCCACAGTCAAGGCAAGTCAAGTATAGACAGGAATGTGGGCCGGGTGTGGTGGCTCCCAGCACTTTGGGAGGCTGAGGTGGGAGGACCCCTTGAGCCCAGGAGTTCAAGAGCAGCTTAGGTAATATAGTGAGATCCTGTCTCCAATAATAAAAGAGGGAGGGAGGGAGGGAGGGAGGGAGGGAAGGAAGGTAGGGAGGGAGGGAGGGAGGGAGGGAGGGAAGGAAGGAAAGAAGGAAGAAAAAAGAGAGAATGAGAAGGAGGGAGGGAGGAAAGAGGTTCATGTTCACCCAGCCATACTCTCCTCAACTTAAAAAGCAAAGCAGAGGCTGGGCACAGTGGCTCACATCTGCAATCCCAGCGCTTTGGAGGTCAAGCTTGAACTCAGGAGTTCAAGATCAGACTGGGTGACATGGTGAAACCCCGACTCTACAAAAATTAGGCAGGTGTGGTGGTGTGCACCTGTCTCCCCAGCTACTTGGGAGGCTGAAGTGGGAGGATCGTTTGAGCCCAGGTCAAGGGTGCAGTGAGGCAAGATCATCATACCACTGCACTCCAGCCTGGGCAACAGAATGAGACACCATCTCAAAAAAAGCCAAAAACCCAAAACCAAAAAACAGCAGCACAAGGGCAGTTGGCATGCTGGTGACGACTGCCCTCACCACATCTGCCACATGAGGCACGCAGTCCTCTCTGGACTGGTTGCCCTCTGACGTTTTCTAATGTATTTTTATGTAATAGAAATAAATTTGTATTATAGAATTATATATACGGCTGGGCACGGTGGCTCACACCTGTAATCCCAGCACTTTGGGAAACTGAGGTGGGTGGATCACCTGAGGTTGGGAGTTCGAGACCAGCCTGACCAACATGGAGAAACTAAAATACAAAATTAGCCAGGCATGGGGGTGCATGCCTATAATCCCAGCTACTCCGGAGGCTGAGGCA